CTCGATGTGTTTCTAGTCAGCATGCCAGACAGGTGTTTACATGCAGCGCTGATTTAATGTTGTTGCTTCCCAGCATTGGACACTTGTAGTCATATTGACCTACAAAAGGCAGGATTTCCAACCGGACCGACATGGTGGCTAGTTTGGAAACTTTCTCTTAAAAAATTGCAATGCATGCTGCAGTGTTTTGCTCCCAGACGCTTCCTCCTTTGCACAAAGTAGCCTAAACCTCAACCTTATGCAAAAGAGGAGCAGCCAACGTGATGAAACACAGTGCGGCACTGACCAGAATGCACATAGAAAATGAATGGAAAGCACGGAGATGATCCTGTGGACACATACCATAAGACTCAAAGGGATCCAAAATCTGTCTAGATTTTAAAGAAAATGCACTCCTAACTCTCTGGAGGAGTCCATTAGTCACACAATGACATTTCAGCCTGTTTTTAACTGGCATCTTGTGTCTGCTCAGGCTTTTGGGACTGAGTCTGTCTCTGTGCTTCATCCTATTAGAGTCCCTCATGGTCCACTTTCCCATGAACATCTGACACGCATTTCCTTCCCCTGCCTCCGTCTGTCCATCTGTCTGTGTCTCTTTTCTATCTTTTTTCTTCACACACTAAAACAGGCATTGAATTTCTCTGTGGTCAAATGTTGGAAAATACAGACATGGCACTTTAGTAATCCTCTGTAACTGAATACATGAGGTCTTTCTTTTTCTTTTTTTATTTGGCAATGCCTTCAGGGCTGTGAAACATTGCTGTATGTTGTTCTTCCATACAATGGGTCCTGTTAGCGTGAAGGAAGGGAGGAGACAGACGCAGGGCAAGAAGCCATAGGCAGACATCTGGGTTAACGTGATGATAGCTTTGGAGGCAAAGTTCACATGTTTGTATGTCATGACAGCTTCCATCCGTCCTCTGGAGAACAGCCAAGTTAAAGAAACAGCTGATCATTGACTTTTAATGGTGGTAGAGTAACAATAAATAACGAAAGAAGATAATAAATGGTGTTTTAAGTGGAGGTGCCAACAACAGCATCAGTGATAAAGCTTAAAGGAAAAGTTTTTGCTTAATATCTGAGAGTAAGGTAAGGTTCTCAGGAAGAGGAACAATGTTCACCAACTTGTGGTTATATAACTATTATTGCACACATTTTTCTGATTTCTTTATCAGTTACAATCGCAGTCTCAGACATTATTTGTTTTTCTTGTGGACCAAGATGCAAAGAAAGCATGGGACAAGAGGGGAATCCCCCACAAGAGGGGAATCAAAACATTTATGCTGCACAAAGTTATGTTTATATAGTCACACCTTCATCTAATCTTTACCATTTCTCTAGCAAATTTCTTGACATTTTTACTCCCCAAAGGCATCTAAAAACAAATCAGATCACTTTTTAGTTGAACTGGACGTAAGTACATATTGGTTTTAAAGTCAGTCCCGCTTACAAGTTGTTCAGCTTCAACCAATCCATGTCAGTTTTGCACAACCTTGAAGTTCTGTCCAATCACTGCAACTTTTCTGCAAATTCAACCAATCATTGTAGTTTCCTGTGAGTTTAACCAATCATTGTAGTTTCCTGTGAGTTTAACCAATCATTGTAGTTTCCTGTGAGTTTAACCAATCATAGCAGTTTCCCTGCACAAAATGTTGAGCCATACGTCTCCACTAGAACACATAATAATAAGGATAGTAATGTTCCTAAGAGCGTGATTTCACCAGTTGTGATTAATTAAATTGTGAATCTCACTTAACGGTTTTCTACCAAATAAAATAAATCGGCAAAAAGTTTGATGATTAATTATTCAAATCATTTATAACATAAATTTGTGAGGATATCCTGCTTTTGTTCGTCACGTGTCATGGTAAATTTAATATATTTTGGTTTTGGACTGTTGGTCAAACAGAAAAGAGACATTTGAAGATGTCACCTTTTGGTTCTTGGAATTTGTGATTGGCATTTTTCATTTTATTGATCATAGACATCATAGTATTAATGTTAAGTGATGTTAAATTATGTTTTGACCTATTAATTAATGAATCAGCAGATTAGTTAAAAAAAACAAAGTTGTTCTTTTTGTGTATTTACTTTCCAAAGGTTGAAAATAGGTGAAATTATCCAGAAAAGTAATGTGTTTTTTTCTGTTCCTGTTGATAAACTTGCTTGCTTTGCATTTTGGTTCACAAGAAGAACAAATACATTCAGAGCCTGAGACTGAGATTGCAGCTCTGATAAAGAAAAGTGTGTGTAATTGTTATATACTGGTCTTGTAATTATAATGTTACTGGTATGAAGGAACAGTTGGCAGACATTGTTCCTGTTCATGGGAGCCTTAACTGTTACTGGCTGAATGTTTAGTGGGAGAGCTGTGGTTGAACTGGACAGCTTCCAGATGTGAATGTGAACCTCTGTTCACTAAACAAACTCACATGCCAGTGCAGAAGAGGAAGTTTCCTCATTGTCATTTATCATTTAAAAAATTGAATTTGACCAACCTGATTTGTGCAACAGCTGCAGCAGCTGTGCCACAGTGAGATTTACCAACGGCAGGTGCCCTCAGTGGGAAGTTGACCACCCGGCGTGCGCTACTCGAGCTCCAATTGGATGAAACCCTAAACGATCCAGGCTGTAGCTGTAGCTGCTGTGCAGGTCGAGACAACATAACCAGCATTCGTGCAACAGAGACTGTGTTTGTAAGTGTTTGTGTGTGTGTGTGTGGGAACATGTGTTTGGGATTACTCCCTGCCAGCATTGGATTGGCAAGTCCAGATGTGCAGTTGCTGGTTGTCTCATCAGTAACTTTCAATGGCAGAGTGTAGGTGACTTTCCTCAGGTGCAGAACACTCCTAAGGGAGAGTCAACAGCCTGAATAATGACGCTATATCATTCACTCAGTCATGCAGTTAGTAAACAGCATTACAGTGGACATTTCTCATCAGGTTGTCTGGTTAACTTGTCTGCTATTGTGAAATATGTATGATTTAGGGGCCAACTGTTCTGTTTTGACTAGTTGCTGCTTGTGTGATCTAAAAAAGAGAAGGGAAAATGGGCCTGTAATAAGCTGTAAAGTGAGTAAAGATGTTGTTTGATTTTCTTCATCAGAATTAAATAGTTTAAAGCCAGTTTCATAGAAATGTTTTTATTAAATCAGGAGATAGTAACCCAATAATTCCCTGCTAATTAACAAACGTTGGCAAGCTGCCATGCTAAACTATTATGGTCAACATGCTAAACTTATTATTAACATGTTAGCACGAGCATGAACACTAATACACTCATGAAAACACATCTATTAATATTATATAGGTCTGCCAATAGATCCTCATAAATGTTACACACTAGACATTTAATGATGAAACAATAAGCTGATTGACAACAATTCTGATAATCGATTAATTTTTCAGGCAAAAATGCCATAAATTTGTTACAGAAATGTGAAGATTTTCCACTTTTCTTTGGATTGGATTTGGAATTTAGACTGACTGGGGACAATAAAGTTTATTCTATTCTATTCTAAATCCAGCAGTTTAAAGACGTCACCTTTACTAATTACTGGGGAAAGTAATATTATTACTGTAAAGTCATTACTAGCCTTACTTCCCAACACTGGATGTTGAACAGTGAAGCTCAAGCTGGCCTTTGTCAGTTAAAGTTCATTTCACTGAACACTTAACAGGCTCTATCTGATACTTTCACATCATTTGGAAACCTTGAGAAACCCTTTAAAACCACTGACCACTGTGACCTTTAACCTTTGATGCAGATTGTACTTCTGAGTCATGAATCTGAGATGACAGGCCGTCCTCGGGAGATCGCTGAGTGTCCGTAGGGTTTTCTCCCTTGTGATGCCGGTTTATGTTAAAAGCGTTTGTTGGTCTCAAGGCAGTAGCCCATTTCCCTTTTGGGATATTTGAATCTATGGGAACTGAAATATCAGCAGTTTTTCCATTAATTTGACCCACAGTCTCACAGACACTGTAGTATAAAAGTAGAAACTGGAACCCAACATTAGTTAAACCACCTTGTCAGCGAGCCAGGAGAAGTTATTTTCTCATTACCTCAAGTGTTATCTATCAACACAGGTTGTTTTTATTTAGATCTGCAATGAGTAACTGATTCATCATTTAGAAAGTATGTAATAATCACTTTTCAAATATTGGTCAGGATTTTATGCTTTTCTTCTGTGTTGTATACAATAAAAAACTAACTCTCTGGGACATTTGAAACTATTTTCTGACATTTTATAGACATAAACAGTTGATCACAATCATCTGTTTCACGTACTACTGTCAGAACGCGGTCGAAATGCGGTTTGTGGTTTGTGGTTTGTGGTTTGCTGTTTAACCTGGAGGGTCAGTGTGGTTTGTTGCTCCACAGGCACTTGTCGGTGACTCATTTTATTATTATTAACTTCCTGCAGTGAACACTGAAGTTTTAACACATCCTAACATGTATTTTGTCTTGATACCTGTAAAGAGATTCCTAAATCAGAAGAAACTATTAATTTAACCACAATAAGCAACGTATATAAGCTCTTGGAGATCTTGAATATCTTCTTATAGACTGTTCTGGATAGTTTGTTGTCCAAATGTTATCCTCTGAACCAGTTTTCCTTTACAAAGAACGTGTGATTTGCTGATCATTTCTGTGCTTTAGACTCACTGTCTTTGGAACGCATGCTGCCTTCAAGTGCACCTCACAAGCTCCTACTTCTGAGTCATAAATTCAACTTTTTACACACATTTTAGTGCTGTTTTGGGAGAAATAATAATAAAATATGTCCTATATTGACATTGTTTGGTGATGATTTTGTTCAGGAAACATTAGAAACTCTAGAAAAACCTAAGAAGTCACAAATATGTTGGCTTTTCTAGCTTGTATTCGCCTCCATTCATGTGCACTTACAGCGGCGCTTGAAGGCAGCACTTGTCTAATTTCTTTTTTTAAGTCAACTTTCTGACTCTTAACCTCAACTTCCTGTTTCTTCCCTCTTGCAGTGGAGACCGGCGTCTCTTTGGACCAGCTAATCGGAGACCCTCCACCCAATGCCATCACCAGAGTCTACGGGCCGAGGGGTAGGGCCGCTTATGCCTTCACCTCTGCGGCAGTGTCGGGCCAACCGGCTCGGGCCCACGTCCCCAACCCTTTCTACCGCCACTTCTCCCTTGTCTTCTACATTAAGCCATCCACTTCCGCCGCCTCCGTCCTCTTCTCCATCACCGATGGGCCCCAGAAGTTCATGTACGTCGGTGTCAAGCTCAGTGCGGTGCAGTCCGGCCGTCAGAGGGTTCAATTCTTCTACACAGAGCCCGACTCCGAGGCTTCGTATGAAGCGGCCAGCTTTGACGTGCCCAGCCTGGTGGACACCTGGAGTCGCTTCTCGCTGTCTGTCCTGGAGGACCAGGTGACTTTCTACCATGGCTGCGACTCTGAGCCACAGGTGGTGAAGTTTGAGCGCTCTCCGGATCCCATGGAGCTCGACGCGGGGGCTGGGATCTTTGTGGGCCAGGCGGGAGGAGCCGACGCTGACAAGTTCCAGGTAATGTTTAGTACAGATATGGTGTTGAACCTTTTAAACGTTTGATACGTAATTTCTGCTGCTAGGGGGTCTGGGTCCTTTTGTCATTGGTATAGCCTACCAGATGAGCTGAGGAGGATACACCAGTTGCTCCTCCTAAATTTGGACAAAATAAGCCTGCATTTGGATTAAACTTATATGACACATTCTGTCTTTAAATACACACTTTGTAAGGTTCATAATTGGAACATATTCAGCGATTCAGATGATTAAAAATAGAAATACAGATGCACAACACTCTCCTGTGTGATTTAATATGCATTTTCTGAACGAAATTATCACTTTTACAGGCTAAATCATTTGTATTTCCGACATACCAAAAAAGGGAGTTTCACACTTTTACTTTATGCTTTAACATTTGGAAGAGAGGTTAATTTTCTAACCATAAACTCCAGGGTACCAGCAGAGGAAATGCTCGAGTGCTGAAGAGATGTTTGCTCATCACATTTCTGACAGAAATAAATGAAAAACAGCAATGAATCCTCCTCCAAATGTCACCCGCGGGACCCAGGAAAAGTCAGAATAATACACTGTGTGCTAAAAGAGCAGGTGTGTGAGTGTAATTTGAATGTGGAAGTCTGACCTCTTCCTTTGGTTCAGATCCATTTTTAATATCTCCCTGTGGCACCCTCCTCACGGCAGGTTTGGGTCGCAGGCAACAGGAAGGGCAGACCTAACCCTCTTCATCCTTGTAAATCTATTACTTGACCCCTCTCACCATTGACCTCTGACCTTTAGCACGCACCAGCAGCAGTTGACCACATGTTAACTCTCACATGTGGTCAACTGCTGCGTGGTTTTTGAGGTGGAGAAGAAGTGGATATTATTTATGTAAAAGCTAAATATTTGCTCCACATTTGTCCAGATTATCTTCTATTCTTAACTGCATCTCTGGTCTTTTTCTGCCAAAATCATCCAAAAAAATACTTTTCAGTGCACAAATGGGTCTCTAATGAGAATATTCTTACTTGCCAAGCGTCATAAAGTCCATCTCAACTCCAAACAGCCAGAATACAGCCCCTTGTAGAGGATTTAAGAAGATGATTTGAAGACAGAGTGACATTTCTCTCATGTTTTCCACCTATTTGGAGATTCCACAGGGGGCTACTATAAAAAATGATTGCAAACAATGAGTCTTGTCATCACGGTGAGTTAGTATGTGTGTGTTTGTGTGTTTTTAGGGTGAGATTGCAGAGCTGAAAGTGGTGGGAAACCCTCGGGCAGCTGAGCGTCTGTGTGACGATGACGACGACTCTGACGCTGTGAGTATTTTTTGTTATATTTTTACGTTAAAGAATGCTTTTGTGTAACGTCTCTCTGTCTCGCAGTCCTCTGGTGACTTTGGCAGCGGCGAAGGCGACAGGAGACAGACGGGGCACACTGTGAAGGTCAGTTTGTCTTTTTATTTGTGCTCAGTATGAATCTTTGCAGCAGGGTGATGGGGAGTAGGGGGTGCTGCTGGAAAAGGGTCAAGCTGCAGACATGCCCAGCACTCTCTGCCTGATGCAATAACATAAAGGTATTCAAACTGTGTAAAGTCCATGCTTGCAAATTGTCAGTTAGCTGCAGAATTTGATGTTCAGATACATGAAATTCAACTCAAGTGTAAAGGCCAGTGGTGGGTTTCTGGATAAAGTCTCAGAGTCTCTGCTTCCTTGTAATCATAAAACCGATGGATGGTGAATAAATATGTTGAATATTGAACTATTAGTAGCTTCTGTGCAAAAATATTGTTTCATTCTTCATACTGTCGACATCAATCAAACTGTACAGCTCTCCATCTAAATCACAGTCATATTGTACATTGTCTTTTTATTGTCTTTATTTAATCTTTATTCATATTCTTCTCAAACTATGTTTATTTTTATGCAGCAATACACCAAGGCAAATTCCTTGTATGTGAAAACTTACGTGGCAGTAAAATCTATTCTGATTCTGAAATAAGAACTAAAACAGTGAAAGCATCTGATATGGGGCATTGAAGTGTGGGTATTTATTCTGGACGTGGCAGTGGATGATGTCTATTGTTTTCTTCTTCCCAGACCACGCCTTCTTCCTTACGACCAGTACCTGAACCCCCTGTGATATCCTCACAAGGAACCTGGCTCAAAGAAACAGGTAAAAGCTCAGTGGAATCACTTACGACTGCAAATCTGGCTGCCAAAGACACTCAACACAGTAAACACACTACAGAACCAACCTGTAATGGAAGTTTTTAATCATACTGCAGCCACTGCCAAAGAAAGGTCTTGTAGAATCACTGTGTTTTTATCTGGAAGTATGTGCATAAGGGCCCTTGTCTGGACCTGAAAGTGTGGGGAGTTTTGCTGCAGGGTTTCAGCATGTTAGTGTGATTTGAAACTCTTTAGCTCCCCCAAGTGGATAGTTAAAGAAGGAGAGAATCTTTGGTTATATACTGTTGCTACTAAAGGAGAAAGGAAAACCACTTTTGGCTTTAAAATCTCCTGTAAAGACTCATAAACAGATTATCTGGCTCTGAAAGTAGGGCACATTTCTTCAAAATTTACACACACACACACACACATACACATTAACGAGGCACCACATTCCCCGCTCTGCAAGCCGACACTTGCAGGCCTCATGCTGCCGGTAAAGTTGTGTTCAACCTGTGTTGACTTTAGATGTCAGGTTTCACAAGCCGTTGGTGGACCACAGCCGGACTGGATCACCAGGCGCAAGAGGTGGGTCGCTGGTGGCAAACGGATGGGTCACGCCTTGAAGAAGTGCAGATTAAGATTAGGGTTATGCCCTAATCAACATGTGGCCATCCTATCTCAGTATAGAATGAGCCTTTGTGCCTCCAGCTGCTGTAGAGTCTCATTATGTTGGGCTGTGAGCATGTTGGTGGAGGTTGGTGGATGTCTCCTTTAAAGTCTGTGCTTGATCCAAATTATTCAGTATGAGGCTGCAACGTCATTCAGTGCGCCTATCAAGGTGACCAGATCCTAACAAACCAAATGTGGGACAAAGAGTATGTTTGCGAGAGGTTTTCTAAAATGTTATATCATGTCTGTAGGCCTATAATTTCTATTCTCCTAACATGTCTGTTTTTCCCTCTGAATGATTCCATAGCACACAATAGACCAGTGTTCCCAACCTGACCCCCACTAGGGGTCGCCAAAGCTTTATTTAAAAGAACCAAAGAGCTAATAGAATGACAACAAAAAAAACACAACACAACATTTGTCGGAAAAGACACCTAGTAAGTATGTATGATTGTTAAAAATAGAAAGAATGCATGATACAGACAGATAATTGTATAATAGATGTCCCTTAGTCCGTTTACACAATGAGAGAAAAGGGGTCCCTTAAGGAAAAAAGTTGGTTACCAGTGCAATAGACTGCAGGTTACAGGTTAGGCCCTAAATTGAATCTGTCATAATTAAACCATTCAAGGAGCTACTTGTCCTTTGCACAAATGAACAGTTGTACAATTGCCTTAAAAGTGAGGAGTGGAGGTTCAAATGTTACTTAAATTAGAACAAAGTTTGGAGTGTGTTAAATTGATTAATTTGAAGTCATGAAAAGCTTTTAAAGTAAGTTGACATGACAAATGATTCATTCCCCGCAGTTTTAATACTATATTCCTTTATATATGTTCTTGATAAACACAACATAAAAATAACAATATCACACAAATGATTATACAAATAATAATGATCACATGAAATAAAAAAAAACACACATCGGTTTCTGATTGCAGTGACTGCTGACAGATAAAACACCAGGATTAATAAAGTCTGCCTTTTATCCTGGTCTGGAGCTGCACAGAATAAATCTCCATAGTAATTTATAGTGCCGCTGCTTTCATGAAACCAAGTCACAGCTAAACTCAGCCTGGAAAATCCCGGTTTAATCGTGATTTTGTGATTTGTGAAACAGCCCTCTGGTTACCCTTTACAGTCCACACAGGGAGCTTATTGTGTGATTAGATAGTTAGACTAGTTGGTTAGTTTTGTTCTTAATTACATTTTAAAAAAACACGCATATGTAACACAAAACAAAGGAGAACGTTTAGATGTGCAATTGAACTTGACTGTTCATAGACAAAGTCAATGTAAGTATACAAGAGAGGAAAGGGGGAGTTATTAATTAAGCAATAGTGCCCCCTGCAGAACCAATCACTACACTGCTTCCATTAACCTAAATGTGTCCACTAGATGGTTTAAGACTGGAAAAACCTTAATCTGTCAGTTCAGCCAGAGTTTGGATGCACATATACGATCTGCTCTTTCACTTCATCAGTTTCCTTCATTACAGACTTTGTTTACTTTTCCTTTTGACGCTTTATTCATGTTCATAAATGGGCACTTCTGCATTTTGGTGGTGGTAGCGATGATGTGGGTGGATTTATGCACAGTACAAATGATGAAATATAATGAATATAATAATTATTACTAATTACTAATAAAGTTTCATATTTTCCATTGCATGATAATAAGCTGCTCTAAACTCAAGCCCGATCCTGGCGTGCTCACTTATTTCAGGTCCCAGCGGTGCTAAAGGCGACAGAGGGGAGAAAGGCTCAAAGGGGGATCTGGGCCCTGCAGGGCCAAAGGGAGAGTCTGGCTTCAGCTCTGGCTCCAGTGTCTCCTCTCAGGGTGGAGGACAGAAGGTAGAAGATCAGTCTGTGTGTCTGTGTGTGGGACTCACTGTGTAATCAGCTGCGTAAAATACTTCATATTTGTCTTTTTTTTCTTTTCTTTTAGGGAGAAAAAGGTGCAAAGGTATGTTACCTGTGTGTTCACACTGAGGAGAGTTTGTTCTTATTTCTATTTGGTGAGAATAATGTCTGTTGGATAATAATATAGCTTGACAGATATGAAAATGATTAAATTATTCTAATTTATTTTCAGTAGTTTTGAGGTTTGGATAAAACAAGGATTGTGAAGGTGTCACTTTGGGTAGTTGTGACAGAATTTCTACCTATTTTCAGAATTCTTACAAGCCACAACAATCAATCGATTAATAGTTTTAAATGAGCTCCACCTCAACCAGCTACAACAGTAACATTTTCCAGTAATGCATGAGTCATATTAACCTAATGATATCATGTATAATAGTACAACAGTTACATCTTAGTCCCTTCCACCTGAGATGCGAGTGCTTTAGCCTCCGATGTAAGTGGGAGAAAAATGTGGGAACTAAAGGTGAACTGTTTTATAAATTATTATTTCTCACTAAGATAAGTCTATTACATTATATGCTGAATTAAACACAGACTCATACCACAGTATTATTATTATTATTATTATTATTATGAATTTAGCTGAATATCACTTCTTCCTCACCAGGGTAGTTCTGGCTTCGGATACCCCGGCAATAAAGGAGAACGTGGGGCTCAAGGGCCTCCCGGGCGCCCTGGTCCTCCTGGACCCGCAGCTGAGGTGGTCCGACTTGGGGACGGCTCTGTTGTGCAGCAGGTGTCTGGACCACCCGGACTGCCGGGACCACCAGGGTCAGATGGGCCTGCAGGAACTCCAGGAACTGACGGAGAGCCTGTGAGTACAGAGACTCTTGATTTTCACAATAATATGTTCTTTTTTAGATTTAAAGTCACTTATTGGTTGTTTATGATCTTTCAGGGTGATCCAGGAGAGGATGGGAAAGCTGTAAGCACAAATATTTATTACAGATTGAGATGTTTCTATAAAAGCAGAATTAGTCAGTGGCTTTTCTTCATAATTAAAAACCGACCAGTGTAATTCTGTTTTTCTGCTCGTGTTCCCAGGGTCCCCCCGGGCCAAGAGGCTTCCCAGGAAGTCCAGGATCTGCTGGTCCCAAAGGCGACAAGGTTTTAGTACAGAGCAGAATATGTGGCTGGATCAATTATGTTGTTTCTTGAACTATTGTTGTCTTATTTTACAAGCATTTATTTAGTGTGATAATGTGCAACCTCTGAATATTTCCAGGGTGAGCGTGGAGAGGGTGAACCAGGACCCAGAGGCCCCCCTGGTCTACCAGGACCTCCTGGACCTGGCACCGGTGACCGCCCAGTACGTCCACACTTCAAACACCTTCTTCCTTAAGCATTTATTGTTTTAAGACTTGTTCCAGTGTTTTATTGATTTATCTTGTGACAGACGTTTTTTGACATGGAGGGCTCAGGATTCCCAGACTTGGACAGAATCCGGGTATGTTGATCATTTTAAAACTCTAGAAGGGGTTAAACTCAAATTATTACTCATAAATCACAATGTAATTTCTTACCCAGGGTGCCAGTGGTCCTCCGGGGCCCCCAGGCCCTCCTGGCCCTCCTGGGGTTTCAGTGGCTATGGGAGCCAACGGTCCAGTAGCTTTCGGACCTCCTGGACCACCTGGACAGGATGGAGTTCCTGGTCTACCGGTGAGTTTCTCTAATTTGTTTGAGTGTGACGTAGTGGGACACAGTTTCCATTGTCAGATTGGATTTCTTTGTTTTAATTGTCAGAAGATTATTTTATTTTATTCATTTTCAACATACATACAATAACTATTTCGAAACAACCGTCAAAATCATATAATGCAAAGTGATAAAACGGTTTCATTAAAATAAACAGAATATTTTTGAACTTTGGACTGCTGTTTAAATATTTCATATTTCAAATATATCAGAAATGTTATTATTATTATTATTATTATTATTATTATTATTATTATTCTGAGTTTGCAGGATCTTGATAAGCTGTTAAATACTGATTGTTTGAGTGTATCCTGTGTGCCGTTTCAGGGCCCTCCCGGTCCTCCCGGTCCACCGGGTCAACCAGGACTCGTAGGCGTGAAGGTGAAAATGCACAAATTGACTGACAACCTGCTGAATATTTCTCACGGATCAGTACACATTTAGTTTTTTGTCAAATATTCATATTTAAAGTCTCCATGCCACACTCTGGATTGCATATTTCTCTAGATCCGCCCCTGGTGATTTCTCCTTTCTTGATCATAAATGTCCTTTTCTTTTTTTCTTAAATATCTTTTACCTCCAGGGTGACAATGGTGAGCTCGGTCTTCCGGGACCATCTGGAGAAAAGGTGAGTTAAATCTGAACTTTTATCCTACAAAGTAAAATCTGTGACTTCAATAACATGAATGTTATGAATCAGTGTTTTCTCGTGAACTGAAATTAAATTTGTGGCGGGAGCGTCCAGATAGATTCTCTCCTCCATGTTTGTTGCTTTCCTCTAGCAAGACTCGCAAGACTCCAACTTTTTCACCGGGCTGTTCTCTTACTTTGCTCCATCCTCTACGGTGTGTAATGGGTCGCAGGTATTCTGGGGGGGTCTCTGCTTTGGTGATTTCCTTCCACTTTCCCAAGTTTTCACCTGTTTCCATTTCTCCTTCTGAACATATCTTTTGAATAATTTTAAGTTTTCCACTTCAAGCTACATAAACTTCCTACAATGCTATCAGAGTGTCAAACAATGACGTTTGTAAAAATAATCCCTGTGAGCTAAAAGCGAGCCAACGTCAGCTGTGTTTAGAGCTAAATAGCAAGCAACGTTAGTGGTGCATTAAGTCAGAAAAGTGGGTTAACAGTGTGGTTGGGTTAACAGAAAAATATTACTGGGTAAGATGTTTCCTTTTATGGTTTCACACTGTGATTTAATAAATAAACCTTGGAAAAAAATGAAATTAAAGACATTTTCCAGATGAATAGAGCACGCCATGCTACGAGCTTCTGTGGGTAACTTTCAGTTTTGCCCTCCGCTAACTTAAATGAGGATACTGATTTAATTGTGCAGTTCTGCTACAGTTTCAAGAGGTTATCGGACTGAATGGATCAAATTCTCATTGCTAAAGGAGTCATTTTGTGGTGGGTGGCCATTGCTGTAATACCACAGTTTGGCCACTATGTGGCTTGGTGCTGGCCGTCAGCAGGCTTTTGCAAAGTTGGCTGGTCAGAAGAAAGAGGTCCTTGTTGCTTGTTTCAGACTGTGGATGAACTGAGGGTTTGCATTAAGGGCCAGTATCAGATAAATAAGGATGGTTCATAAGAGTGAATGATGCAAAGCTCCTCTAGTGAAATATAGAGCTAGAAATGATAATAGTTCCCCTTTAAAGGTTCAGCTGCATACTTTCACTTTTCTCACTGTATCACTTCATTCTGCTTAACATTGAGCTCTTTCATGTCTCTTGCATGTCGTCATCACCCACTTCCCTTCACCTACTCTGCTGCTGTTGCATTAACAGGAGTGCCCTTGATCAGTAGTCCAGCAAAGAGACATAAAACACCCTGATTATTTTTTTCCTTCACACCTAAGGGTGCTCAGGGTGACGCCGGAAGGTCAGGTACACCTGGGCAGACTGGGCTGGCAGGACTTCCAGGTCCCATGGGACCAGTTGGACCACCAGGACCCCCTGGGCCGCCAGGGCCACCATACCGCGTTGGTTTTGTAAGTAGAAGTTAAACATGTGCATAGTTTGTGTGGACAGGTGAGAGCAGATAAAACTAAAAAACAAGGTGTGTAAAATGGTCTCTGTGTCTTTGACAGGGCAACCAGGATGGATTTGAGGGAAACAATGGCTTGCCTGGACTCAGAGGTCCACCTGGACCACAGGTACCCAATCACCTCTCTATGAGACCCCTGACGCTCTCTTTACAGTCGATCTTCTGCTTCATGTTTTCCTGTGTTCTGTCTTCCAGGGTCCTCCTGGTATCGCAGGTCTTCCTGTGAGTACTCCAGAGTTTGTTTGGCTCTGTGTTGTTTGTATAGAGTTGTTTGTCTCACAGTTGTACCCACTCTTTATTTTCTCTTCTTTAATTACAGCAATTAGTAGGTCTCTTAGATATTGCCGTTGGTATATTCTTAATATAAATCCAGTTGTATCAAAATAAAATGAATATTTAGATTTAATTTCGTGTAAGCTACCACAGATTTTGCAGTCACAAAAACGATGTTCATTGTGTAAAGAGTTATTATAGTTTTGTATTTTTCATTTGTTAAAACTAACTATAATAACCTTGGTAAAGATAGAGATAGAGATAAAGAGTTAGACACAAGTAAACATAGTTTCATAAATCAATGCTACTGGTCACCCTCTACATCTCTCCGTGGACTACAAATATTTAATCAGTGCTGTAGTCAAGAACACCTTTATTGAGTCCAAGACCAGGACTTGTCAAGACCAGGTAAAGTCTTCTAAACAAGCACGTTTTATTTTGAAGGAAGAAGGTAATATTGCTGCACTCAGTGGAGACCAACTAGAGTATCTGACGAGACTAACATCTCTTCTTTACAATAATTTTTAATTTCCTGCAGAAAAAACAAAACAGTTTTGGACATATGATGTTGACACGTGTTAAAAACCAATAGGAAAGTTGGAATAATGAAAAATAGTAATAATTAAGACCAGCTACCAACGCGTAAAACTTCATAAGAAATTTAATTAAAACCATTGAATAGTATTTAATACTTTTCTGAAAGTCCTATAGATGTTTTTACTATTTAAGTATTATATAAGTATAAGTAATGTTCTGTTATGATGTTCAGGGTAAGCCAGGTTTACCGGGCATCCATGGAGACAAAGGAGCAGAGGGACAAAGAGGACCTCCTGGGATACCAGGTCTCGACGGATTCCCCGGACAGTCGGTAGGAAGCCAGATGAATTCTGGGATTTGCTGCTCAGTTGATTTTGTATAACATATGCAAATAATACCCTAATTAAGACATAATTAGACATATTCCAGTTTTAAAATTGCTGGTTTTCATGACATTTATAACTGCTTGTGTTCATTTTTTAGGGTGAAAAGGGAGCCAGAGGAGACAAAGGAGACACGGTGAGTTATGTGCTAAGTATATAAAGCATATTATTTGCAATATGCCAATATATTTAAATGTTTTAAGCTGTAATGAAAATTATATTTTAGTGGCAGGGGATAATATTTAGCTTATTCCTTAAGATATATAGTTAATACACTCTGTTTGTCACGGCAGGGTCTGCCAGGGCGAGATGGCGGACCTCCTGGACCTCCAGGACCTCCCGGCCCTCCAGGACAGATCAGCTACCGCACAACGAGCGACGTGAGTCAGAGATCAAATCGTTAACTTCGTGAGATTTAAGTTTAACCCTCACATGACTGCCTGCCTTTTAATCACTAAATCACTTACTCAGATTCACTAACAGTCACTGCCTGCTAAGTTGTTTGTTCACCTCCGCACTAACTGACCTAACTTTGTCTTGCTATAGTATAATGACCCATATTGGAACGAAGGGTGGCAGGTGAGTGGTCCCCTAACTGGCCTCTCCATCATTCTTACTAAACTTAAATTAAATTAACATGTTTACACAATATTTGTTCTTTTTCTTCATGTGTTTTCTCTCTTCGTCAGGGAGGAAGTAGTGTTCAGGGTCGAGCAGGATTCCCGGTATGTACCACCGTCGTTATCACAGAGCTCAGTTTGGAGTCCGATCGATATGATGGAAGGAAGTTATTGTGTGATGTGTTTTTATTTAGGGGCCCATGGGACCAAAAGGAGACAAAGGAGACTCAGGTCCTCCAGGGTATGCACCTAAGGTAAGATAATCCACATTTTGATTAATTATTTTAGCCTTTTTTACATTAGTAGTATTATTAGTATTATTGAAATTAATTAATTTAATATATTGTTATCTTGAGATATATCTTGAAGTACTTTTTCCCTGTTTCAACTAAATGGTCTTGCAAATATTACATGATTTCCACAGGTTGGAGGATCAAAAGGAATAAATTGCGTCTTTCTGTTTATCTTGAAAACATATAAATATGTTTTTGTCAGTTAAAGCTGCAATTTTATGAAATAGAAGCATTTTTTTGGTGGGATATTATCAGATGTTTTATGTGCATTTTGCTTGTAATATCTTGTCTTACAAAATAAATGCAGCAGCAATCCTGTACAATGTGTTATCTAAAGAAACTTTCAATAAAATCTTAATCATTGACACAAACTTTAACCTGTTGTTTTGTTCAGGGAGAGAAAGGAGAACCTGGTCTTATCCTCGGGCCTGATGGGAGACCTCAGTACATTGGTGGCCTTGCAGGAAAGCCGGTAAAGTCCTTTATAAAAGATTAGATAACAAACTATTAGGATGCATTCATCAATTTTTGTATCACAACTCAAATAACATAACATCTAGCATGCTTGTGCTTGTTTATGCTGCAGGAGTCGATTGTAAATAACACAAAATAAGTGATTAATTATGTAATATGTGAGCATTTACAGCGTGTGTATTACTTTACAGGGCGAGAGCGGACCCCCCGGCCCTGTGGGACCTCCAGTGCGTACCTTATTTTTTTTCACAGTGTTTTGCTGATGTTAAGTAAGCTAACAGCATCACATTATTATAATAAACCCGTCTGAATACTGTTATTTTCAGGGTCCACATGGTCCTTCAGGCCACAAGGGAGAGATTGGGCTTCCAGGTAGACCGGTGAGTAGATTCCTTGCAATCATCAAATTACATTTTCATATTCATATTGAATTAAAAATGGTAGTTCATTCTACCACTAAGAGTCCCCAAAGGTTTTAATTTATACACACAGCTTTAAGGCTTTAAATGCATTAATATTTTATGTGTAATGAATGAAATATGATTCTGAATGCTGTATTTATTGTAGGGTCGACCGGGGCTGAACGGCGCCAGAGGAGAGAAGGGAGATTCAGGCATTGGATCTGGATACGGTTTCCCGGTGAGTACCACTGGTTTTTGTCCCATTTCCTTCTGAACTTGTGCAGCTTTTTTATCATCAGGCCATCAACACACAGTAATCAATATTTGTTGTTTGCCAGGGTCCTCCAGGTCCACCGGGCCCCCCTGGACCTCCTGGACCTTATGTTCCCAGCGACAGATTCAGAGTGAGTCAAGACAGGAAACATTTTATCTTCTGCCTATTTACTGAATTAGAACTGTTGCCCGTATATTAAAAGTAATAACATATAAAATAGCTCAAAGAATGTGGATAATAAATGTTTTAAATGCAATGTGAAATTACTTACGGATCATATTGATAATCTTCAGTTTTATTTCAGGGGTATGATGATTCCTCCAGGCAATACCCAGGTAACTTCACTTCATATTTCATGTGCGATGATTGACAGAGAAGTTTGATATTTTGAACTTATTGGCTTTCTTACCAATAGTTAGGTGTGATGATCGATACCACTCTCATGTCGTACTTTAATATAAGAAGCAACCAATTGCTTTAAAAATTCTTTAAAGATGAGACTGCTGGTGTTTAACCGAGCGTGTTGTTCCTCGTGTTTCTAGCTCTTAAAGGAGAGAAAGGTGATCCTGGACCACCGGGGACTCTTGAAATTCCAGGTAGCACCACTTCGTCAGTGCGCATATATAAGCTTAAAAGTTAAGTAAATGTTTTTTTATTTTCAGTATGTAGATAAATTCAAAGCAAAGCATTTTGTTTCTGATGCAGGTTTCAGGTCATCGGTTGACATTTACACTTTAAGGGTAAGTCTCAACTCAACAGATAGAATTTAATGGTTAAACTATCAGTAAGATTTTTTGTTTATACTGTTTATATTTGTTGGATGTTTACATCTCCAGAATGAGTTGAAAGGTGAAACGGGCAATCCGGGCTTCAAAGGAGAGAAAGGAGAACCAGGCGGAGGATATTATGACCCCCGCTATGGAGGGAGCGGAGTTGGACCCCCAGGAGAGCATGGACCTCCTGTAAGATCACACTGTCACACACATAAAGCTTTACAGTTTATATTACAAAAACATCTAGATATAAATACATTTCTGTCCTTGTCCACTCAGGGCCCAAAAGGCGACTCCATCATTGGCCCACCAGGCCCTCAGGGGCCACCTGGTCAGCCAGGAAGAGGCTATGATGGGCAACCTGGACCACCAGGTCCACCTGGACCTCCAGGACCATCCTTACCTGGAGCTTACAGGGGCACACAGAGTAAGTAATAATCAAACACCTAAATATTCAAAATGAAGTCATTTGAGCTCATGTGACCCCCCTTTTAATGACAGCTATCAATATTCCTGGACCACCTGGACCACCTGGAGTGCCTGGACTACCTGGACACTCCTCAGGGGTGAGATAACTTTATTTCCTTATTATCTAACAATAAATCAGGAAATACAAATATCACTTCCTGTCTAGATAAGATTAAAAAGATTAAAGGTCAAAATACACACTGTAGCTCTATAAAGACTGTGTGTTAAAGTGTTTATACAGCATTACTGGACTTTAATCAATGACTCTTAGCCCGATAAACAACGTGGCTGTAATTAAGTTATTAATCTCAGGAAGCAGACGACTGATTACAAAGTACAAGGTCATTTACACAAGGTTGCACAACAAAAGAAAGTTGTAGTCCCGTCACGATACACACACAGAACATAGATAGTAGATAATTAGGTTAGGATAACATAAAATATAAATATATAATAAAACATTTTGCCCAAATGTGTTTTTTGTGTTTGTAGGTAACAGTGTTGAGGTCTTATGATACCATGACAGCCACTGCTAGAAGACAACCCGAGGGCTCTCTGGTGTACATTATAGACCAAAAAGATCTCTACTTACGGGTCCGAGATGGAGTTCGTCAAGTCCAAGTAAAACATGCACCTTTTTTATGATCATAAATCAGCAGGAGATACAAAAAATACTTTGATTTCTCAGTTTTTGTACATTTATGCAGTTGCTGCCTTTGTTTTTTCAGCTCGGGAGCTACATTGCTCTGCCCAGTGTGGATGTGAGTGCAATTCCTCTTTTTTCTCATCTTCAGAACATATAAGCGTCCTGTTTTTAATACAAATCATACATATTATTTTCAGGATAATGAGGTTGCAGCTGTGGAGCCCCCACCACTCGTCCCCTACTCCCCAGACCACCACTCCAACACCGACACCTCCTCACATGACTCCCAGAGGCCACCTGAGAGTCCGGTCCACCCAGACTCTGGGCCTCAGTCGCAGCCACACCACCCAGACCCTTATTACCCATCAAACCCTGATCCCAGATACCCAACCCACACTGATCCCAGATACCCAACCCACACTGATCCCAGATACCCAACCCACACTGATCCCAGATACCCAACCCACACTGATCCCAGATACCCAACCCACACTGATCCCAGATACCCAACCCAGCCGGATCCCAGATACCCAACCCAGCCGGATCCCAGATACCAACCTGACTCCCGGCATCAGCCAGATCCGCGGTACCCAGCACCCACAGATCCAAGGTATCCAAGTTACACAGACCGGTTGAATCAACCGGACGGTAGGTATTCTGTCCATACAGCCCAGGAACGCCCCACGTACCCAGACACTCGCTACGCAGTCACTCCTCAGCGAAGACCACCTCCTCCTTTGCCCGAGTCTCCAGTCCACCATCATTCTACAGGTCCAGCGGTACGAGAGGCAAACTTTAAACCATCAAACTCACATCTCCGCTCTGAGTCTTATTCTTAAATTAAATATTACTGCTGGGCATGTTTCCGCAGCTCCACCTGATCGCCCTGAACAGCCCTCAGACCGGCTCCATGCAGGGCGTCCGCGGTGCAGACTACAAGTGCTTCACTCAGGCTCAGGCCATCGGGATGAAGGGAACTTTCCGGGCATTCCTGTCCGCCAAACTCCAGGATCTCCACAGCATAGTTCGCAAGGCTGACAGGGACCGTGTGCCAATAGTCAACCTGAAGGTAGCCAACAGACGTTTTTCAACCATTTAAAGGAAATAGTTTGACGTCTCCAAAGTCTGTACGGTAAATATGAGGCTGCAACTAGCAGCCAGATAGCTTAGATTAGCACAAAGACTGGAAACAAGTGAAAACAGCCAGCCTGGCTCTGTCCAACGGCAGCAAAATCTGCCTACTAAGATGAGCTGAAGAGTTACGGTATCTTTCTACCTTTTTTGTGTTATCCTCAACATTTTTAATGAATATTTATTTGCCGCAGTGTTTGACAAGATATATATATTTGACATATAAAATGTAAAAGCACCAAAGGAGATGTAGACAAGAACAGAGGTCAATTTATTGTACATAATCTGTGTAGAAACTACATCCGGCCTTGAAATAGTGTGAATAGTTAAATCACATAAACCCTGATAAAACCACAACAAAGAAGCAAGAACAAAAACTAATTATGAATAAATGGTAAATGGATTGTTTATTAATTTAATAATTAACAGGACAAATCTGGGCACTTAAAGGTAGCTAATATAAATAAACAGGAAAAACACACAAACTTTATGCTTATATTCTTGTAGTAATTGTGTCGTCTCATCCATGTCAGGACGAGGTTCTGTCTGACAGCTGGGACGGCATCTTCAACGAGGGCAGAATAAAGGACAACGTGCCGATCTACTCCTTTGATGGCAAAGACGTTTTCAGTGACAACACATGGTGAGCCAAAACCCATCAACTATACATAAATAAACATTTCTGAATATTCTGAAAAGTGGAGAAACCCCCCCACAAACATAAGCGTCATCTGTCCCTGCTACCCCTTCTTCTGTTTCATCCCAGGCCGGAGAAGATGGTATGGCACGGGTCAACCAGCGGCGGGCAGCGGCAGGTGGACAGCTTCTGCGAGACGTGGCGAGTGGGCGAGCGGGCACTGACCGGCATGGCGTCGTCACTGCAGAGCGGCAATCTGCTCCAGCAGAGCTCCAGCAGCTGCTCCAGCTCCTACGTCGTGCTGTGCATCGAGAACAGCTACATCAGCCACTCCAAGAGATAGACACAAAACACACAACAATGGACGAAGCCATGCTTTTGTCCACACACACTTTTCTATCTGTGCACTGTATGTGGTGCTTTGTAAATAGATCTTTTTCTTATGAATAATTAGTTTACGTTTGTTAGCCGCTCCCATACGGTGCTATTCAGGATTATTCCACATGTTGAACCTAAGTTAAGCTCAGGTGACATACAGTAACAGTCAGGCCTTAAAAGCTGACTGTGCTTCCAAAAGCTTTGTTGTCTGTGAACTTAAATGCTGTGTGTGACTCGTCTGCTAGCGGTCGCTATAATGTTGATATAAATATTGAAATTAACATGCTTGCTAGTAAAACCCAGTTTTTATTGATCAGATGTCTGTCCCTGAGATTTCAAACATAATGGAGGTGAAATGATTTGATTCTATTTCCTGGTTGCTCTGGATAGTAGACCTTTTTCACAGCAGCCATTTTGACATGAAATAGAAATATATGGTTTGACTGTGACTGGAATACAATGTTAATACACGAGAGGCACAAATTGGGGCTAATTGTAGAAACACATGTTCCACTTATATAATTCTTCAATCAAATAAAACATGTCCATATGTCCAGACTAGAGAAACTAAACTGATCTCCGAGAGGGATATACCACTGTAATCACATGTAGAAATGATGTCTGTGGAGCGAGTGATGGACTTCCGTTTAACCAAGCACCTAAAAAGCAGTGTTAATAATGAAAACTATATTTCCTTTGGCTTTAAATATCACATTTAACTTTATATACAGTATTTGTCAGCGCTGGAGTTAAAAAATAAGTACTTGACCTTTCCTAAGTCCCGTCCCTTTCGAAACCTCGGTCAACTTTCTGCTTAAGATGTGACTATTAATATATGTCACTTTTATCTTTTAACCATTCTCCAAATGTGTTTTTTTCTTAACCTTGATGATCCTATAGCACATAGCATATCTAAGTACAGCAAAGGAGGAAGTTGACCGAGGTTCTGATCGAGGCTTGCTCAGCTGTTATTGGAGGAAAGAGCAAAAAGGGGCGGGACTTAGGAAGGGTCGATTGTCAGTTAAACCTTTTTATCTGTGTAAATGGTGCCTTTAACAACACATTTCAACCTCCAAAAGCAATATAAACATGAGTTATTGTGTATGAAAGTTGTGTTTTTTTAATTTCCTTTCCTTTACACTGATGTTATCTGTAACCCATAGCACTTGAGTTATAGCCTTTTTAATAATTTTGCAACTGTCTTGCACGGGAAGATATTTTCAAATCGTATTTTTTAGCAATAACAAAGGGATATTTATTTTTTATAAACCGTGCATTTTCTAGTTCAACGATAATGTGTGATGTGAATGCTTTCACAAAAGAATAATTACATTTACAAATACATTCAGCAAACGTGCAAACCCTACACTGATATAAGATTTGTGCGAATAATAAGCAAAAAAAATTGATGTACGAATAAATAAACAGGATTCAGCCATAAATGTTTATCAATGCACTGTTGCTTTTTATTCAACAGTGAATGCGCTGCAGTTTCAGTCTAAAGTGGAGAATCGATTGACATTCAAATGTACTAACAGTGCCATAACAAATGCAGTAAGATTACAGGTTGTCATATGTTTTTTTTCCTCCTTGTGTGAGCAACATTATGAAATGCTGCATTTCAATGAATAAACCTGTGTGGAAATTGTGAGTGACGTTCTCAGGTGATGGTGTTGTGCCTGTTTATCGAGTAAATTAAGTTTGAAATGTCTTCACACTCAGGAAGAGGATGCTGATTTAATGCAATTGTAAACAGTGGGTTACGCAAAACAGAATAGTTGTGAAGGTTTTTGACTGAGCCTGTACTTTAAAATAGACATATTTAATATTATGTATGATATAAAATCTGCAGAAAAATGTGTGACTTCAGGTGTTCAGATCACAACTAACTGAATACCCCTCGCCTTCCAAATGTGTAGGAGCGTCCACAAAAGGCCCCTATCTAGAGCCAGTGTTTGGTTTGTCCTCCTTCCTTAGACAGCAACCCGCAGCGTCTGTAGCTAAAAAGCTCATTCTAAGGTGACAAAAACATAACTATTCTTATTTTCAGGTGATTATACACTAATAAAAACATACCTATGAATATTATATTCCATTTCTGCCAGTAGATCATCCTAAATGTTGCACACTGGACCTTTAAATACCTGTAATTAAGTAAAATAATGCAATACTAACATATATAGAAGCATAAAAATAAAATACTAAATCAAGTACAGTTTATTTACTTTGTTACACGATTGAAAAGTATTTTATTTTAATGTACCTTAATAAAAAAGTAATCTTTTTTGTTTTCTGTCACTGTTACATGTACTGTACCGTGTATAAATGTAATTTATATTAACTTCAGCTGACTGGTGATTATAATAATTAGCACACTCTGTATTTAGCCTCCTTATCTGTCATGCTCCAGTTAAGGAGTGAATGACGGACACTATTGTTAAAGTCATATGACTGTTTCTCAGGCAAGTCCTAGAAGTTACAAGAAGATTTAGGGACGGAGAGAATGACATTCTCAGGAAGTCACACTGAATATAAAAGTTATGAGTGATGCACATTGTGTGCTTCCAGCTCAGCTTGTCTCCACAGCCTCTTGTGTGTCCTGCGTTATTTTCCAGCCCGGCTCTCTGATGATCACCTAACTGTTGTTGTCATCAGCCACCTGCCTGAACAGCTGTTGCTCATTTGTACATTAGTGCAGGTTTGAGTTGAGTTGAGAGCGGAAGATACTGTACATGTGGTACTTGACGGCCTGTCTACTGTTTCCCTGTGTGATTGCCTGCCTGCCTGCACACCTGGTACTGACTGTAAAGAAAGGCCAAGTTCAGGTAAAGTCCACCTCTACCTGTTATTTCCTGTCTGTCTATGCTTTAGCTCCTGCCAGAAACTAGGACATTGATGTCTGCTCAATGGTAGGTGGTTTAAAACATTTACTGAAGCAGTTTCATGGAATTATCTCATTTAAAGCCCCCTCCAGTCAAAGATCTGTGTTTCTTCTTGTTCCTACAGTGTGTTGTTTGGAGTTTTACTGGTGGAGAAATACTTAATCCTGTATTATTATATTAGTATTATATCCCTGTTTACTTCACCTCAATGGTAGTTAAAGTTAATGAGGTCATTGGGTGAAAGTTCAAGTTTCTCTTCATGACTCACAGCTCCTCCCAACTTGATTTGAATATTTCTTTGCCCTGAGTACTGCCTTCAGGATCCCTCTAAAACTACATACAAAATATATCAACTCAAACTTAACATTTATTTGTATATGATTTATTTATTCTAATCCCGTTCAGGACATTTTTCTTCCTAATACCTGAGTGTAATATGAGAAAAACTACAATGATAATAGCCATTAAATAAAAAGTGCAAGTGCTGCTTTTTAGTCCAGTAACATGTAAGTAAGTAAATCGAATTAATTCACTTTACATGAGGAGAGGGAGGAGGGGGACACTTGTGGTTGTCACACTGTGAATCCGGGTCTGGTAGGTCGGGGTCAGACCAGGACACACCCTTGTTAGTTGCCTGCAGTGGAAACTCAGGGCAGTATCTTACCTGCTTGGCTGAAGTTGAAACACCTGGGCTTTTCCTGCGTGTGTCGTTGGAATTTGTAGTCCTTTTAAAAAACCGAGCGACAGACAGACAGAGACAGACAGACAGACAGACAGATTATCAGACAGTGGTGTTTTCTGCTTTCACGCTGGATTTCCTCGTTAATGAAGCTGGAGGAGGTTAGTTTCACTTCGTTGTGACGCAGATATTTTAACGGAGGAAAAGGTCAGTATCTGACTGTTCTTACTGTTTTATTCAGTTTTGTTGTGTTTTATAGCCTGTGAGCATTAAAGATGTGAATGTCTAAAAATACCATTTATTCCGCTTTAAAACGGTTTAATAACCTCCAACAACGGTACGGTAACGTTGCAGTATTCCCATCTTGAGCCACCTGGGTGGGGGGCATGTTATGTACTGTAATATATTATCATTAGATTATTTAATGTGTAAGAATGCATGATTGTTATCATTTAAAAATGTTATAATACCATTGCTGCTCGTAGAAAATGTTTGGTTGGTGGCTACCACCCTGCCTTCTTGTAGAACCTGGACACACCTTGATTTCTGGCTGCAGGTAAATACTTGTTTAAAATCAAATACTAAGAGATTCTTTCTCAGTGATGACAGCAAAAGATCATATCACCGATACACAGACAGCCAGGACTGACAAATGGATAAACAGCATCTCTCAATGTCTCTTCTACAGATGAAGAAAATACCTGTGATTACACATTGATGTTGATTCAGCAGGTAAGCACCTTCCATGAGAGTATAATAAATGTTGAATGGATACACAAGCTAGAATTGTTGGCAGTCTGATAAAGCATTCATCATAGCATCCAACATTTTTGGCCAAAACAGAAATGACAAAACAAGGAAACATTTGTCCTTTTGCTGTCTTCTTCTGCCACACAGCAGTCTGAGTGACACTTGGTGTAGCTCTACTATGGATGTGCCTGAAGGGATCAGTGAGGGAATCCCCCCCTCCAAAATGACTCCAGTTGGGCAACATGACAGCTCGACCAAAGCTCAGAGGTGAGACGAGGATCTTAACTGTTCATGACCATCAGAGCTCAGCAGTTGCATCATTTTGCCTAAATTATGATTATATAAAAGTAATAAAAACTCTGTTTTGGGTTTAAGCCAAGAGCAGCAGCAGGAGAGACCAGCCTCCCCCGTACCCAGCTGTGTGTCCATGAAGAGCAACCACTCCCGGGAGGAGCCTCTCACTTTTCAAAAACAAATTTCCCCTGAAACAGAGTAAGTCAACTTTTTACGTTGCACTACAAAAACATTAACAAAGCAGTTTTTAGAGGGAAACCATGCTTCCTTTTATTAATTGTCTCTCTCAGGATCCAGGAAATACCAACCTCCACCGTACCCAGCTGTGTGTCCATGAAGAGCAACCACTCACGGGAGGAACCTCTCACCTTTCAAAGACAAGATTCCCTTAAAACAGAGTAAGTCAACATGCTGAGGTTAGTGGGGTGAGTGAGTAGTAGGGTTCGGGTGAAAATAATTGTAAGGTGCAGCCCCAAAATTTCAGAAAATAGAAAACAGAAAAATATTTAAACATTATTTCTAAGAGCCCAAATTGACATAGACATCCATACTTTCTGGAATTTTTTTTTCAAAACTTACATACTTAAAGATATTGAGTTTTCTAACATAACAAAAGCAATCTTTACATTTCAGAAGCTGGCACTAGTGAATGTTTGCTATTGTTGCTTGAAAAATAACTTAAAGAATTAGCTAAATTTACTGTTGATCTACAAATTTCATTTATTACTGCTATTATTTTCCGGATTTGAGAAAAGAGCTTGACTAGTGGGACGAGCTACTGGCGACCTTCAAAGTTGACTGTAATAGGCTGAGATAGCTGTAAATCATGCCCCCAAATACACGTCTTTTAAGCCCTTGCATGTCCTGTAATCTACTACTAGGAGTTTTTAACTGATTATGAAACTCTAAATGTAATATTGATGCCTCTATATGACCTACAGAAACAAGCCAGACCACTAGCGACAAGGTTGGCTATTTCTATATAGTTATTCTTAATGCCTGCCACCGGGTTGGATTTGGTCGGTTTCCCCTCGCAACCAATGAAGAGAGGCACTGGAAACACTACTACTTTTTTCCACGGAGACCAGATTTAACACAAAATCAAAGTTTCTTGCACAGGCTTTTATAACAAAATGATAATTAATAATTAAAAGGCTTTGTCACGCATAGGTTCAGTTCATTGGCAGCAAGTGCGATCAAATACCTGGTCCAGTATAATAATAAATTAATATTTAAAGATACTCAAATGTGTTTTCCTCCACAGACTACAACAGGAGATGCCAGAGGCTGACATTGGTCAGTCTGCCCTGGAGGATCAAACAGACAAGGACTCCATATTTATGGTGTGTAAATGCACAAGGAAGGGTCTGCACACTGCTCCTTTGTGTTCTACTTATTGGCACATGATGCAATAAATTGCACGCAAGGGAGCTACAGTGCTCCGACCCTTGTTTCATGTGCACATTTACAAAAGTTCTTGTATTTATTTCACAGTTTCACTGTTTTTTGTGTCAGAAAATTAAGTTTACGTATCTTTTTCCAGCTGCTTGAGGAGAACATTATCAGCTTTGTGAAGAAGGAGCTGAAGAGGACGCAGAGGGTTCTAAGTTCGGAGTGTGCAGATGACGAGGAGATCGACAGCAAGGATGGAGAGGATTTGAGGAGCAGCAGGGAGTCATTTCTGAAAATTGTGCTGTACTTCCTCAGGAGAATTAAGCAGGAAGAGTTGGCTGATGCTCTACAGAGGAGTAAGATGATTTTTACAGCTGTAACAAGATAGAATTGGGGAATAAGTTGTTTTTGTCTCTTAGTGTAGATCTAATCAGTCGTGAAGTAGTATTATACGTCTGATCAGGGAAAATGTAAACTCGATGAAAGCTGCTTGTGGTTTCTCCGATTGATCAGTCACCTGCCCTCCATCTTCAGTCAGCACCACAGGAATGCATGCCACATTTATTATAGCTTCCACTTACAAATGTTTTTTTGTCCATGCAGAATCTCCGGCATTGTGCCAACGAAAACTCAAGTCTAGTTTGAAGCAGAAGT